GAAACAACTCTGAGGAGATCCCAAGCTGAGAGAAAGGAAAGTGGACATCCTTTATTGGAGGAGGAGCATGGTGTCAGCAAGGCACAGGGTCTCTTGAGCTCCAACCAACACACAAATGGCCTGTGGCTTCTGGGTGGGACTTTGAAGGGTCCAGGTTGGCTCCAGGCTCCCAGAGAGGACCACAAGAATCAGTGTTTGGCTGCTGCTGGGCAGAGGGGAACAGAGAAGGATGAGACAGAGCCAGAGCAGCAAGTCAAGGACAGTGGAGATGGAGCAGGCAGAGAAAGTGGGAACAGAGCTTGTTGCACCCTCCTGCACACCCCCTGCCATGGCCCCAGCATCCTTCATCCTTATCATCACCTGCAGCCTTGGGGGAACCCAAATGGATGCCCAAAAGCTGAGCTCACCCAGGCCACAAGAAATTGGGAGTGGGGAACTGAATTTGACAGCCTGGATGCTCCTCTATTTGAGAAGCTTTGAAAGGGAATGTATTTTTGGAGCATTAAAGATCAACCGTTTGACTCTGGCCAATCCTTTTCAAGAGCAGCACCAAAGGAGCTCAGTGGGATGTGTTTGGTCAAATATTTTGTACATGACCATCATCTCTCACCCCCTCAAATATTTACAGACCTGAGAGCATTTCCTGCTGTTCCCCCCCGTTGAGTATCTGGTGTCTCTGCTCCAGCAGGACTGTCCTGCATGTCTCAGTGCATGGTGGAGCCATAAAGGACCACCCCAGTGCTGCCCTTGGGTGCAGAAAATAAAACTAAATCAGCACAATGTGTTTAGTCCCACAAATGGCAGCAGGTTTACCCAGCCAATAGTGAGACACAGCACACGATAATGAGAACAAATCTGCGGGGGTGGTGGTGGTGGGGAGATGGGGTAGAAAGAGGGAGGTTTATTCTCCAGGGTTTTTTGCAATCTTCACTCACCATATTTAGTAGGCTTGTGACTTGCCCTTGCTAGCTCATGGAGAATTCCCCCAAGTGTTTACTCCCACAACCTAGCAAATGCCTCAATACACATCATGGAAAAAATACAATCAACATCTTCACTCCCACTAGAGAAGGAATTCCGACTTGCCCGGCACAGACCGGGAGTATGAGCCTGTGAGAGAGACAAATGCTGCTTCATTAGCTCCCCTCAGATGTGGTTTACTCCTCAAATGACCTGGTCAGGGCTGCACCACCTCCCTCCTTTCCTTCACCTAAGGAACCCCTGACCTTTGGTCAGGGCAGTGGGGACAGGAATGTGGGTCCTTTAACCCTTTCCTCTGACATGTGCCAGCTGCTCTCCATGCGGTGCACAAAGCTGATGGTCCTGGGATTTCCAGGGACTCAGAGATGCTGTGAAGAGCAGAAGCAGAGCTCTGCAAAATGGCTTTCCTCCTGCTGTACCTAGGGAAGAGCGGGGCTTGGTGATGGAGAGCCAAGTCTACCTTTTACAGAACATGGAAACAAAACTGGGATCACTGAGAGCAGAGATGACAGATCACAGATTACCCTGGATTGCTTTGGAACACCTATTTCTACAGTGTTTTAGTAGAGGAAAAAACAGTAGTTAGGCCATTTAGATTTTGTCAATCTGTTCCCAAACTGCCCCCATGACAAGGACACACAGGAAATAATTTCAGTTTATCAAATGTAGAATCTCCTACAACTGCAATGAACATGAAGTAGAAAAGAGCTGGAAAGAGGAGCTGAAATGAGCTCAGGACTTCTGATGATTTGGCATTTCAGGCCAGGAATTTCTTTGCCCATATTGGCAAATTTTTGGAATTTCTGCCAAGGGAAGTGGTGAAATCACTGTCCCTGAAAGTGTTCAAAAAACATATAGATGTGGCATGTGGGAACATAGTTTAGTGGTGAGTTTGGTAGAGCTGCATTAACGTTTGGACTTGATGATCTTGGAGGTCTTTTCCAACCACAAAATCCCATGTTTTTGTGAATGGGACATGGTATGAATGCAGCACCCAGCCAGCCACTCCTGCTGCTGTCCCCTGGTCTGGTCCCACCATACTCCAGTACAGGAGACAGTGGGAGGATGGTGCTGACTTATTTTCACTGGAGAGGTCTTGGAGATTGTGCAGGGAGCAATCACAGAGGTGCAGGGACACCGAAAAAACAGTAAAATTCAACAGCACATGTGCTAGTCCATGGTATTTAATTTGCCCACTCAGTGAGGATGGAGCACTGGCACGTGGCTGTGCTGGGGGTCCAGGTGCTTTGGTAGAGCAAAGGAACGTATCAGGGCTACTCCAAGCAGTCTTGTGCTGCAGGAATATGACCTTTACCTGTTGTGCCAGTGCCTAAAACCCATTAGTAGTGTGATACCACCAGTCTCCACCCATCAGTAGTGGGTGTGATACCACCAGTCTCTGCCAGGGTAGAACCTGTGGTATAGTGGGTAGCAAGGGATGTGAACTCCAGCTAGAAACATGTGGTCTGTAACCCTTGACATGATATTACACTCCTAATCTCCCCCTTGCACACCAAAAATTACAGGAACTACCCCAATTACCCCGATTTCTCCTCCAATGCACATTTCATGCACATCTTTTCCTTCTTGATGAGGAGAAAGCACCTCTCAGGGCATGCTGAGCTATTGCAGTATTTACCTAAAATACAACACAAACATCTAATTAAAGGAGAGGGGGCTTGGCAAAAGAATATTAAAGCTTTTCAAGTCTCCTGAAACCCTTTGTGTGGAACAGCTTTGGGAAATGGGGCCTGCTGCCACCCTCCCCCTCTTGGGAACATTCCCCAGGGCAGTGCCCGGGCAGCAGCTGCTGCTGCTCCGGGGGAGTCAGCCCAGCCTGACACACAAACAAATACCACAGGAAGAAATGCTTTATTCCAACAAAGACCTGGGGAAGAAACCCGGAGCAGGAGGAGAAGAGGAGAGTGTACATCCTGCACCTGAGGAGCTTTGGGGTAGCAGGGGAAGCTTGGCCTCAAACAGAGGAGTGAGGAAAGGCAGGAATGGTTACAGCCACAACCAGGTATGATGCAGATGCCATGCAAAAAACAAGATATAATGGCATAAAGCTGCACCTTCAACAGCCTCTTGAACCTTTTTATTTCAGCCTAAAAAAGGACTGACTCAAAGCACGGAAGGTTAATACCTGCAGGTGTCGGGGGGACAGATACATGAAAACCAGTGCGAGCATTTAGGGTGGAAAAGGGATTTTGCTTGTTCAGCTCTGGTGCTCCTCACCCACAGGTGACAGAGGCTGAAAACATGTTCTACACAGAATTGTGCGTGCAGAAAGAGCAGGTGGCAGCAGGAACCCCCGCCCAGCGCCGATTCTAAGTTGCTCAAGTCTAAGAAATTGTGTCCTTGGTCGCATTAACAACTTCTGCAAAGTCTTCATTTGCATTTTAATGGCACTCTTTCTAGGAAGGTGGTGCTTGGACTCTGTTGCAATATAAAATGAAGAGGTAATTAAAAACATGCTGGAGTGAAAAGGCATTTTGTTTCCATTAATCAGGTTTATTCAGATTCTTTTCAAAATTAAAGGTATTTAGGGTACGTGGAAGGAAACGGGGAGAGGAAAAGACACGATGGAACATCCTTTTATTTAAATTACAGATAAAAAAGTGGAAAATACACTTTTTGTAAGGGGACATCCTACAGATTAAAAGCACCTTATAGAAATGAATTTGAATAAAGATTAGGCATAAAAATCAAGTCTAAAATTTCGATAGCAGGTCTGCCTACTTGAAAGCCAAAGACGAAGGAAATATATAGGATGAGGGAAAGGAAACCACGGAGGAAATTTTTAAACCTTCGGCACGCGATTAGCCAGGCAATTACTGTGATTACACACCTAAGTCAGTTAACTATGCAAACGGCCAACCCCGGTGGGCAGAGATGCATTTCCCCAATTTCGGGCGCAATCACAGCGCGCAGATGTTGATAAAACAGTTTGCAAACGTTTTATCTGCTGGACCAGCTCCTGCTTTCACAATCCAGAGACCGCACGCAGCACCGAGAGCGATTCCCCGCTCGCCGCAGCCATCGTGCGATCGCGCCCACTTCCCCCACGCTCCAGACCTATCCTGCCCTGTTAAGCTCCGTCCTTTGAAATATAGGGCAGTTTCTGCCAGAGCCCTCAGCGCCACAGCCGAAAGGGCAAAGCCCTGTCCTTTGTTGCAGCGGGAGGTTTTCCATTGCGGAGCTGCCTGTGATCTCCACGCGCTCTGATCTCCATCCTCCCCCGACCACCAGCCTCGCTCTCTGGCCATTACGGGTCAGGGGGCTCCGAACTGCGCTTATTTTACATTGTTTCGTTTCGGGGCATTGTGTGAAATACATCTCAGCGCGTACGACAGGGGGGAGAGTGATTTTTGTGTTTCTCTGCAAGGTCCCGAGGCTGCGGCACTGCCCCGCTCCATCCCGCGGCGGGGCTCAGGGGACGCGCCCCGCTGAGGGCGCGCAGCCGCCCCTCCCGGGGCAGGGCGCACCTGCCGGGGGCAGGCGACACCCGGGGAGGAACAGAGAGGTCCGGAGCAGGAGCGGGGGCGGGGTTACGATAGGAATCGCAATCGGGACCAGGACCGGGACCGGGACCGGCAGCGACCCCGCGCTGCCGCCACCACCGCCCCCGCCTCAGCGCAGCCCCCGCGCTGTCCCGGCGTGCCCCGCGCGCCGCGCGCCCCCGCCCTCCCTCACTTCCGGTGTCCGGCAGTGGCAGCGCCGCCGGCGGCGCCCCCGCTCCCCCGGCGCAAGGAGAGGGGGCGTGGCGAAGAGCGGGGCGTGGCCGACGGAGGGGCCGCCGCCCAATCACCGCCCGCCGCTGGGGGAGAGTGGGCGGGGACAGCGCCGGCACGCGCCGCGCGGCTCCGCCCCCCCCGCGCTCCCCCCTCCCCCCCCGCCCGCCGCGGGCTCGCGCCCCGCGCGCCCGAGGGAGCGTCGGGAGCGCGCCCGGGCGCCCCCCCCCTCCCCCTCTCCGCCGGGTTCTCCCCCCCCCTCCTCCGCCCTCCGCCCCCCCTTCCCCTTCCCCTCCCCACCCGGGAGGAGAGGCACGGAGTGACCGACGGAGCCGCCGCTCCGGCCGCTCCGACACCCCGCTCTCCTCCATGGGGCACAGGTAAGCGCGCCGCCCCCCGCCCCCCGGGGCGAGCGGGGGTCGCCATGCTCGCCGCCCCCCCCCCAATTCCTTGGGGGGGGGCCGGGAACCCCCCCAACGCTGCTCCCGCACCGCCGCCCCGGTGTCATCCCCGTTATTATCCCCCTTATTATCCCCTTTTTTTATCCTTATCCCCGTTTCCATCCCCGTTTTTATCCCCCCGCCGCGGGGGGAGCGCGGCCGGTCGCGCCCTGCCCGCCGAGGGGGGCACGGAGCCTTCTTTGGGACGCGATGTCCTATTTGGTGTGGGTGGATGGCTTAACTTGGTAAGTGCCGGGTTTAACCCCCCTCCCCCGGCCCTCCCTCCCCTCGCTCCTCCGCCCGCCCCCCCCTCCTCCCCGTAACCTCCAAAAGGGGAATTTTCCAGCTGGTAATTTCTGCTGCGTCAACACCCAGCTCAAGGGAGAGGAGAAGAGACAAGGGGGCATTTTAGCAGCAGCTCCACTTGCGGATAGCCAGCCTCAATCCCGGCTCCAGCATTAAAACCCTTTCCGCCCCCTAAAAACCAGCATCCGTGCAAGTTGGACCAAGAGTTTGTCAGGACTGTGGTTCAAAACTGCTTGGAAAAAGGGATGAGGTAATAATACTGGTGAAGCATGTTGTATTTCTCTCTTTCTGCGTGTCTCTCTTTTTCCCTCTCCTCTCCTCTCCTTTTTTTTTTTTTTTTTTTTTTTTTTTTTTTTTTTTTTTAAGCCAGGCCTGTTTTGGGTTATTGTCTCCCCCTAAAGCCAGACATAGATCGCCTGGCCTTGCCTCCATTTTAATTGCAGGCTGAAATGGGGGAAGTGACCCTCTTTACAAAAAAAGAAATGCAAAAAACCCAACAAGCAAACAAAAAAAAACCCTTGAAAGAATAATGCTGTTCCTGTTGGGGGGATATAGGTGATTTTTCATAAGGCTGTAACAAGTGCAAAAGTGGCTGGAAATGTTCTCTGTCATGCTGGGAAACTAGTGAGGTGTTCTTCCCCCTCCCCAGAAAAAAGTGCTGGTAGAATTTGGCAGAGGGGAGAAGGAGAGGTGCTGCGAAAAGCAGGGGTTGTGCTGCTGGATTGCCTTTGTGTCTCTGTAAATAGACATGTCAGTTCCCAAAGTAATACAAGTAGTGTCTGATAACTCAATCCCAGATGACAAATAGAGAATGGAGCAGATTTTCAGGACTGTAATAGTGGGAGGATTTCTCTTTTGAAACGGAGAGGAAAAAAAATGTTGGTACCTCCTGAGGAGGTTCTTCCCCAGCACGTTATTGTGGAGCGGAGCATTCGGATGGAATCCGGAGACATAAACCCATATTTATTTATTTTTACACCTGACCGGGAAAAGATAAACAAAGGAGAGTTTAACAGCTCTTTAATGAATTCCTCATGCTTTTTATTTTGCAATCCCAATGATTCATTTGGCAAGCCTTACAGAACGGGATTATTATCAGCATTGTTTAAAGCCATGCTAATTAGGAGATGTGTTTAGCAAACAGTGGCATTGTAGACACCTGTACCGAAGTTCATGCATGCATTTTAATTGCATCACTGGTATCATTTTTAGCATTTAGTTGCTGTCATTGAGATGTAGGTTTGTGGAGTCAATCTAGTATTTATTGAGTGTGGGTTCTCTGTATGCACAGATCAGCCCTGCTACTAATGAAAGACAGAGATTATTTTTTTCTCTTTATTTTCCTGTGGAGATTATAAGAAAAGGCAGTGATACCCAAGAAGAGTGAGAAAAACATAATTTTTGAAGAAGAAGCTTTCTCTGACTGGTTAGCTCTTTCACTTTAATCAATACCTCACTTTTATAGCCTCTTCTAATTGGAAATAAAATTTGACTTTCCCTTTCTAAACTCTCTGTTTGTCAAGTTTTATATTTTGAAATCCTTAGTGATGGAAAAAAATGGGTGGAGTGTATTATTAGTCACAATATTTTCAACATGTGGTGAGGAATTACAGCTTTGAGGTGTTTTTTGGGAGCTGACAGGGAGCAGGCAGAGGAGCTGCCCCAGGGGCTGGAGAGAGAGCTACAGGACAGCATTCAGGGGGCTCCCAAATTGCTGAAAAATATTCCGTGGTTTGGTGCGTTCATGGGATAACTGAAATAGAAAACGAATCTTTTGGTTTTGATGCAGCGTGTCCAGGAGGGGGAAACTCACTCACAGTGAAACTTCTCTCGCGGTTGTTTTCATAGACTGTGTGTTCGCCTGGGTGGAATTGAGTCAACTGCAGTCTGGTACCAAAAACAGGGCATTCGAGTAACTCTCACGTTAGGTGCTTATTCCTGTGCTTTAAATGCTGCTCCGTTCTGGAGTGTGTAGGACTGAGCCTTTCAAAACATGACCTGTACTTGGGGTTCTTGGAGACTGGAGAAAATGGGCCACTTTCTCCCCGTGGTCTTTGTTTTCTGGGACAGTTGTACAACAGTGGATATGTTCTTTGCAAGAGGTTTTTTTTTTTTTTTTTAATATCTGGAAGTGCTTAGAGGAAAACCAGTTTAGCAGCTCCCCCCTCCCCAGCAGCCCTCTGTCAAAAGGAAAAATGCCTCATGTTTGGAAGGTCTGTTAATTGCCTGCTTTTCCTCTGGTGATGTGCTGTGTTTCTGTGAGGTTCAGCATATTCTTTTTGTCTTTGCTATCCACTTGGGTGGATTTTTTTTGTTTTGTTTTTTAGATCCGTGTTTTTGAAGTTTCTAAGCAAAGTTTCCTCTCCTCCCAGCAGCAGCAGCACAGAGCAGGCTGACACCCAATCCAAACTGCCACTGCCTGCTTTCAGGGCAGAATTATTTCATAAACAGCTCAACCTTTCCCAGGACTTTTTTCCCTTCGTGTTGCCTGTTTTACTGGCTGCTCCAGAGCACTCTGTAACGCTTTCCAGACTCCCCCTAAATTGGTAAAAAGCATTCACAGGGGCTTTCCATGCTCCTGTGTGCTGAGTTTAATGGGCAAACAGAAGGGCAGGGAGAGCGGGCTTAGTTTAAGTCTTTGAAGAGCTACCTGCAGTTGTAATGGTTATCCCACATGTCCGTTAGAATTCCCAGGAGGCAGCAATCTGTGTCCGCTCCTGGCTGTGAGCACTACCCTGGAAAACTCTGACACTTTACACAGAGGGATTAATTCCGTTTTTATATTTCGCTCCCGGCTCGCGTTTGGCAGGAATATTTTGAAGTGTGGAGCTCACCTGTGTTTTCTGTTTGTGATATTTGAAACTGGGAGTGTGTTAATAGCAGAAGGGAGCAGGTTGTGTGCACAGAGCACAGGTCACATTAGGAGAGACCTTGAAGAGTGGCTGCGAGGCAGAGGGAGGAATTTGGTGTGAGGGAAGTCCTGCAATCCTACTGCATCCCTAAACCATCTCTGTGGGAGTTTTTATGATATTTGGGCAAGCACAGTAACAGTCAGGGCTCCCGTGTTAAAATTTGTTGCTTCAAAACTTCACTTTATTCCCTTCCCGAGGACTTTTTGTATGTTTGTGTCTGCAGCCTCCTTAAATACATCCTTCAGTAGTTGGGTTTCTCAGTTCCCTCTGGATCTGCGGTCCTTCAGGCAGGATGAGAAATAAAAACCTGTATCACTTCATGTGGGGCTTCTTCCCTTGAGATTCAAGAGGGAAGAATCTCAACTTCCCTAAACAGATCGATAGTTTTCTGGTTTGTGCTGCCTTGGTGTGTTTGGATTCATAAGGGTGTCCAATTTAGAGGGAAAGTGCTCTTTGGGACTCAATTCCCATCCTCCAGCTGTTAATTGAATGTGCTGGTGTGTAACTTCTTGTTACCCATCTCCCCTTCTGTGAAACAGGGGTTTACTCAGCTATCCCAAACATTTTCAATTATACTGATGAAAATTGTACTAAAAATGCTTATTCTTCATAAAGGCAAACCAGTGTGAAGTCCTGGATGAATTCCCTCTGGGATGTGGTAGAGTCCAGAGACTCGTGGGTGGGGTTTGCTGTCCCTTACCGAGTCAGCTGCGGTGCAGTTATTTTCTGAACAGTTGCTTTAACTTTCTTTCATACCCATGTATTTAAGAAACATCAGGCTGCTGCTGAGATGTTGGTTTGGAATAGCTTCTGAGCACAGGGTGAGATCCTTGACAGCCATTCTAATGAGATGGAAATGTGTCCCACTTGGGAGTTGTGCATAGGCAAGAATGTCCCTAGCACAGAAGGGGAGAGGTGGCGTAGCTGAAATGTGACAGGTAGATGCTGAATTAGAGCTGAAACTCACCTTTTTGTCCTGATTTTTGGGGATGTGGCTGGCTTTTGTTCCAGCCCTGACAGTGGTGGTCTTGTCCTGTTGTTCACTTGACTCATGTGTGTCCTTGGGAAGAAAAACACCCTGCAAATGTTGGAAGTTGCCCTGTGTTTGCTTTATAGTGACTCTGAGTTGGCATCTCCTGTACTGGAAGGAGGCACCAAGGTGTCAAAAAATTCTACAAACATATCTAGGAGCTTGTGTGTGGACTAAAATACTATTAACAAGAATGTCAGTGTGTGCTAGGGCCTTACCTGCCCAAGAACCCTACTTAGAAAATGAGCAGGGTTTTGTATATTAAAGAATATGTTCATACCTCTTGCCATATATTGAACAAACTGCTTATTCCATCCGAGTGAGTTTGCTTCCTGGTATTTCTCACCCCATGGAGAAGGGCTCTGCAGAAAGCTGGTATTTCAGGGCTTTGGATTGCTCTCCTAGAGGAAAGGGTTAAACAAAATTTGCACCTTTTGCACTGATACAGCATCAGAGGAAATACCTTCCTGACTGGTGCTCAGATCATGCCATGAAACAGAAGAATCAATGGTCTGTATTGGACATTAAGTGCTTAAAATATCCAAACCCAACTAATTTAAGTACTAATAAATGAAGTAGTCAGGGCCCAGTTGCTCTTAACAGTCCTGCTACTATAAGGCTGGAGAATGAGGTGGTGGCTAAATATAAAATGAGCTTTTTGACTTCCTTCTTGTTACCAATGTCCTTCTTGGCTTTGTACCCACTTTTAATTTTTTTTTTCAGTAGTAGTTGATCAAATCTGGATTATGAGATTTGTGCTAAAAAGTAAACCAGGATCCTTACCCAAGGCACAGAGGGCTTGCACCATGAATTACACAGACAGAATTAGGTTGTTCTCAGAGCCCTTCATATGTTATCTTTAGTTTTGCACTGGATGATTCTTTTAGATTATTCATGACTCCTTGTGTGTCTTTTCTGTCTTTTAGGCGATCTTTCTCTTGGTTTTTATCCATGCTTTCTTCTTTTTAAAAATCACCTCATGATTCTTCCTCCTTTGGCTCCTTCCCTTTTTATGTATTGAGTTTGGGAACTTTGGCAAAGATCCCCTAATTAAAAAGCCAAAAACCAATGAGAAAGTTTGGGGGAAACCATTCTTCAGGGCAATTCCCAGTGTGATAAGTTTACAGTTCTCTAATCCTCTTTTTTTTTTAGGGTACTTTTTATGTTGTTTTTTTGACTAATAGATGCACAAGGACAGAATTTTTTTGCTTAGATTTCTTTTGTGACTTTTTAAAGTAGCTTTTTAAATAGCTTAAGATCTTGTAGATCTTAAGGAGATCTAATGGCACTTGGACAGGTAAATGTCATATGAGCCACAGGCATTTGAATTTTTTTTCAGGTTGTTTTTTAGTCTTTGCTGCTAGAATAACAGATATATCTAAATTCTTATTTTTTTGATGTCACCAGACTTCTCAAGCCTGGTACCCTATACCAGTTCTCCCAAGTTCTTGCTGTGTTCTACAGGGTCCATGACATGAGGAGTGTTGGGTCTGTTCTTCTCCTGCTGCAACCAGACAAGAGAGAGAACAGAGATCAAAAACAGGGGAATGATTTGAGCAACTGTTGCTGTGCCAGCATGGGACACAGGCAGATGGACAGAATTGGAAGTTTTGGGAAATGAATAAGGGAAATGCAGAGGAAATCCAAGTGCAGTGGAAATATTTCTGCAAGAGAGCAGCTGGAACTGGGTTCTCACACCTGTGCCCTGTTACAAAGGTGCATCCTGTGGGATTAGCAACTTGTTACCCACTGGAATATTGTATTTCAAGCTGCATAGCTTTTACAGGCATGGAAAGTATAGCTTCTGTTAGTTATTTACATCTTCATTTTTGTGTTTGGGTCGTTTGTTTGGGTTTTTTTTAAAGTTTTTTAATGTTAGCAAGATAAGCAAAGTGCTTTCCTCAGTACCTTTGTGGATGCTGCTTGGTGGTTAAAATCTGGGGGTCATGCTGGCTTTTGAAGACTCTGATTCAGTCAAGCTGGACGGGAATAAAACTCAAATCTCTTCCTTTCACACAGCATGGACACATGGTTTTTCTGTGACCTTAGGCAAATATTTTGGTTTGGAGGGGAATCACTATAACCATTAGTTGCAATTAATTCCAGCCCCATTTAAATCGTGTGGGTGGCAGAGGTCACAGAAACATTAACTGAAACTTACATGTCAACTGAAACAATGTTAATTTTTTAAAAAATCCTGTTATAAACTGCTGGTTTTTTAGAGTGACATTTTCAAAGCACTTCTGGAAGCATAGTCAGGAGTTGTTAACACTCTTAATACTGGTATGTGAAACTCTTTCTTTACATTAACACAAGGGCTAAGTAATTTTTCCTGCATGATTAATTATAGGAATATATCAGAATGTTTCTTGTTAAAATGGCAAACAGTGTTGTAAATGTGCAGTTATTTTAAACATTGTTTGTAATTATGTGACACTGAAGGGCTTTGTATTGAGTTAAAATTTGGATTTTAATTTTTGCCTCCTATTTTTTCCATTCTCAAACACAGGCCATCTGATGAACCTTCTGGAGCTTCTTACCAGAGACCATTCTCCTCTCTTCATTGAAACATGCACTGTCCAGCTGTGAAACATTGCAAGGTTTATTTTTGCTGACAGGAAACACTTTCAAGTATCGGTAAGTTTTCACCATTTCAAAGATATTTTTGTCATGTGGTATAGGAAAGAGAAAGGGGACCTGGAGAGATCGTTATGAGGACTGGCACCTCTTCATAAAACTTGACTTAACAATTATAACAAGGGCTCATTTAGAAATCTTGGTCATCTGCAAAAGTTGGAGCAATACCTCTGGCTGTTCTGCTCCTTCCTGTGGCAGAGGTGTCTCCATCCATCATGGTCACTCGGTTCTCATCTGTTTGATCACAAGACGGAAGCAGGTGCACAGCTCCAAGCAAAGAAGAAAAAGTGCAGGGCTCAGCTTTGCCATTTTTACCAATCTGTTCTGGCTCTTTTTGTGCCCTGGGACAGGTGTAAATGAGAGTTTTGAACAGTAATAGCCCCAAGTCTAAGTAGAAAATACATACACCTTGTTACAGTTTGCTAACAAAATAATTTCCCATGTGTCTGTGTTGGTCTGGCTCCCTCACTTCACCACTTTATTTTTTCTAAACTGTCCAAATAACAGCACTAAAAAGAGCTCGCCAAAACAATTGCTATGGAGAAGCAATCAGAAATAGAGAAAGGCAAGACTTGGCAGTCCAGAATAGAAACAGAGAACAAAGTCACTGGTGTTTGCTTCAATTGGGTCATATTGATTTTCAAGATTTTCAGTTCTGCTGTTTGCCATAAGAATGCTTGGATTTTCCTTATTACTTTATTTGTTTATTAGATATTTTATTTCACCTTATATAATGGCATTAATTTGTGTTAGAAAAGCTTTCTTAACTTTTCTCTTCTGATATTTCCTTTCAAAATCTGTTACTAGAGAAGGTCAGTCTTGAAATCACCAGAATTGATTTATAGCTTATTTTCATTAAGAGAGCTAATCTGTGTATTGAAGATATTTGAAATGCAGAGATCCAAAAGGATTTTATTATTGCTAACAATATAAAACTTTGAATAAAGGAGACTCCGAAGTGTTAGAGTGTAAGTTAAATGTTGCCAGTGTGGTGTATATGCTATTCTGAAGAAAATAAAGTCTGTTTTATACAAGAAAAATAGATGTATAAGATGATAGTTTTAGTGGATGTGTCCTCACAGACAAAAACCTTGGTGTAGTTGAACTATTCCTACTCCTTGTACCTTGTAACCATAAACACTCAGGTTTTCTCTTAAGAGCCTGTCTGTAAATGTGTCTTACTATACCTAAATATCTGTATTTTACACAAAACTTTAAAAATCTTGAGTTTGGTCTCTTAACCCAGAATGGTGTCAATCACTACAGACTGGCAACTAAACATTTCAAGAGCAAATTCTCCTGAGTGTTCCACTGCAAATTTCCTTCAGGAGCTGTACTGGTAGCTTTTAAAGCTGAGTATTTTATAGGTCAGATAAGGTGAGTCTCTTTAAAGAGTCATTAAAGTGAGAATGTTTTGAAAAGCTCCCAAACAGGAAACCCTGTTGTTCAAGGGTCTGATTGAAGTTTTAATAGCTAAAATTAGACCTTTTTGTTCCCATACCTTTAAGAAGTAACTCTTGTTTACATTATTACAAAGTGGTAGCCGGGGTTTAATTGCTTTCAGTGTATCGATATGCTTGGAGTTGACTTTTTTGGAATTTATGAAGTCACAAGTAAGAATGTCATAACTCTGAGTTTGGAGGGAAAGGACTTAAAAATATTTCACTGTTAGTTTACTGCTAATAATTTTTTCTGGTTTTCTTTTGTGTCATAGTTCTGTCTTTCTCCTACAAGAGTTCACACCAGTGCTGTCAGAAGGTCACTGTCAGGGCACTGCCTGTGCTGCCCTGGGGCTGTTGATGTCCTCAGCTGTTGTAGGAGAAACACTAGACCTGGAACCCAGTTTGTTACTGGTAAGAAGTAATTGTCTTGGATTTTACTTGTTTATTTATTCAATATTACAGTTTAGATGTTTTCATTAACTAAATCAGTTAAAATCACTTGTCACTTTTAAGAACAATATAACAAAATATGCATATCTGGTCTTTTCTTTTTTTCCCCCTAAAATATTTACGTTTACAGTTTCTAAATTTTGAATTCTAATTACCCTCCTTCCAAAATGTGGAGGACAGCAGTTTTCACTTACCTCTCATTTTCAGTCCTGGTTTTCTCTTTAAATTCTTCATGTGCTGTCAGAGCTAATGAAGGTTAATAAATGGATTTTTCTATGAAATCCTGTGTTTTGATTACTGTCCAGCTTCTGCACATTGGCTGACCCATAACCAGGGGAATAGTTTGACAAGTGAAAGGCCACAGCCAAGTGTCTGGTTTAAAGTTTTGGAGTAGAGTGAAATGTTTAATGATGACTCCCTGCTATTTTAGATTGTGCTGTTGGAGTTAGATTTTCCTTTGGTTCTTGTTTGGACTGTGGAATCAAAGCTTTAATGGTATGGTGAGATGCTGGAAGTGTGCAGTGTTCTACTCTGCTGTTTGAACTCGTGGACTTTGGATTGTATCTGCTACAGATTCTAAAGAGAGATGTTAATTTAATGCTCTCTGTGATGGGGCAACAATGGCTTGAAGTTGTAGAAATTTTAGTGAATCCTGATCAGACCAAGGTTAATAAATTTGTGTAGGGACTTGGGGCTCTTTTTGCCCTTCAATCACTGACAGTTCATTGGGGCTATCAAACTTGCTAATGAAAATAGAATTAGTATTTTTCTTTAAGTATACTGAAAATCATGTGCCTCCCAAATCCCTGCCCTTTCTCTACTTCTATAGTTCTTCTCAAGGTGAATGGTGAAACTTTTATTTCCTTCCTGTGAGTCCCAGCCCTTGAGGCTGAACATGCATTGTTGGGCTGCAATTAAATGTTCCCATCCCTGCTCATCAGGGAGAAGTTGTACACCTTGTTTGCATGAAACCCTGAGCTCTGAGTGACCCCTCTGGCTCAAACGTCTGGTTTGGTCTATTTGCAAACATCTGCCTCTTTCTCCTCCAGTTCAGAGTGGTGGTAGGAATGACCAACTTAAAACAACAAATTATTGGTTTCAGGAATCAGAATAGGGTAAAGGAGTTTATTTTTTTGGCAACTGTTCATTTTTGTTAGCTGTCACTTCTATCTATTTTGGAGAAAGCTGATTATGTGAATGTTATTTGGTGTTATATAGTATCAAGAAATTAAAACTCTTTCAGATTTGTGTGCTGCTGTTGCTCAAACACGTGTGAGAAAACACAGCTCTTGTGGAGATTTGTGCTTGTAAAGCTCCTGAGCAGTGTCTTTGCAGAGAGTTACCATCCATGAATATCCTTGAGTCTTCCTTTTCTCTCCTTTACTGTCCCTTTCAGCTCCTAAAGGGTTTTGTTCTCCATTCTTTTCAGCACAGGGCAGATGGAGAGTAGGAATCATGTGCATTTCTGTTGTCTTTAACTGGATAAAAGTGAAACTTGAATGCACACTGTGTCTTATTGTGCAAGGAAACATTTCAAGCCCAATCTCACCTTACAGAGCTCCTTTGCAGAGGAATTTTAAAAATGTTGGAATGTCTTGGGAGTGGAAACATGGACAGGACACAGGGGAAGCAGGGAAGTGGGGTGTGTTTGTTGGGTTTTTGTGTAATAAAGCATTGGAGTGAATTGGAGTTCTTCCTTAATCTGTTTTTACTTTTCTCTGAAGGGAGAGGGGGGAGGAAACAACACATTTTTGGTGAAATTCCAGTTGGCATGTTTTCTCTAGGGAGCAGAGTGGTGGAGGAGTGCACTAGTGAGCATTTTGGTGCTCTTTACCTTTGGTCCTTGGTATTAAGTGTAGAAACATGCTGAGAAAATTGATACAGATAAAGTGCCATGTAGTTTAAATCTTCAGTTCACTTACATTCTCAGAAAAGAAAAAGTAAACAAGCAACAAATAAATCCTAACAACAGCAAACCCTCCCACCCACAAAAACCTTCAGGCCATTTTTTTTCCCTGTTTTCCTTCTGAGGGAAGGAAGTTTATTTTTGTCCCCACTATTTCCCAGGGGACTGCTCTGTAGAGGATTTTGTGTGCAATTCATTTCTCATCTGTGACTTTTTGTCAAAATTCAAGTAATGCACTGAGATTTAGATGTAGAAAAATTTTGCCCCTTAATTTTAGTGATGTTAAAATTTTGGTTAGAAGACTCATTCCTGGCCTGAGAAATTTGCCAATAAATAAATATTTACTCTTCTTGAAACCTTTCCAGTGGGAAGTGAAGAGTGATTTAGACTCTTACTGTGCCATCAGGTGCTGTTTTTACGTTGAAATAACTGTAATGACAGTGCAAAATAAACCACTTTCATAGGTTTACTCTAGCTAGGATTAAAGATTGTATAAATTATTAATGATTCTTTCAAGACCAGGGTTTTCTGATATGAGAAAGAAAAGCAAGCCTGTATCTTGACAGAAGTTTGCATGAAAATGACTCTTCAATCTGCTCACCTTGTGTTCTTTTTGCTGTTAGGTGCAATGGTTTGGTTTGGGACTTTTTTTTTTTTTTTTTTTTTTTTTTTTTTTTTTTTTTTGTTTTTTTTTTTTTTTTTTTTTTTTTTTTGTAGTTTTTGTTGGAGAAGGAATAGACTTGAATTACTGTACTGCCTGTGAACTGTCTTATGAAGAAAGCCTGATCTGCTACAATTTTGTTTTGTGGGAAATCTTCAGATGAGCTTTCCTGGTTTGTTGGCTTCCTGGAAAGCTGTGCTGTGGCCACGTGGTCTAAAGAATCCTGGTAGATGCTTAACTTTTAAAGCCTTCATGTACTAAAAAGACCTGAAATAAACAAAAAAAATACATAATTAATCTCTGAGGTCTATTTCTAAGAAATCTCCGATTTATTCTATCTTCACTGTGCTTCTACAGAAGTTTGAAGGGTACAGCTTTTCTGAAGAAATCTTTCCACAACATTTTTTAAGTGGAAATAAACATCCTTACCAGGGAAAGGGAAAAAAAAAATTAAACAAACCATCAACAAGCCACAAAACAGCATGTGAAATTGGAACACAAGAACAGGGTTTTAAAGCTTCCTGAATTTTTAACTACTAGCAAATTGCCTTAAATTTAACTTGGATTAATTCCCTAGTGATCCTTGACATTAAACGGATGTTCTGGTTTGACATGGGTAGACAGAAAACTAATTAATTCCTCTGAATTTGAGGCATATTTAATTTTCTCCCCTAAAGACCTCTTGTTTAAAAGGTACAATGCTGTGACAGATGTTGGATGCGGAGTGATGGGTGTGAGGGAGCAGACCTTGTGACAGAGGAAGATCAAGACATCTCCAGTAATAATTCCTGATTTGGAAACTGCTACATTTTATTGATTTCCCTGAACACAGGAGTATCCATCTCACTGCTTGCTTGAAGGTGCTGTAATGTGCCCACCTCAGTGGTCAGAAAGCAGTCTTGCAGAGAATTTTTTGTCTTTGTCTTTAGTAAAAATTCCCTGATATCTTTTCCCTGACCTTATCTTCTGTTTCCTAAAGAGATGAACAAGAGCTCCATCCACCCATCCACCCCAGTGCCTGAACCTCAAACTGCTCCAGTCTAAACCAAAAGTAGCAAGAGACATATTTTAAATTCTGTATTTCTGCCACAGGCAGATTTAAAAAGGACAAGATGTATCTGAAGTGGACTGTTATCAGGAGGGGGGGGACCTGACCCAATGAACTGAACTGAATAAATGTATGAGATAGCAAAGAAATAAAATCTCAAGGAATTGATACAATTTCCAGTTGAAGAAGGAAAAATGTGCCTCAAATTCACAAGAGCAAGTGGAGACATTGACAAATACTCTGATGCTAATCTGTATGAAATTGAGGAAGAGAAAATTATCCTTGCAGGAGATTCCCTGCCCTTCCTCCCCACAGTTCCAAGGAGCTGGTGTCTTGGAATGTGTATTTTAATATCCATGAAGGAACAGTGAAAGGAAATGCCATATCCAGAACATTCTGACCCTTTCATCATTGTGGGCTCTGAGGTTTTCTTACATCTTCCCCTGAATTGTGTGGATATGGCAGCTGTTGGAGACACGACTGGTGATGGACAACTCACTTTATGCTATGTGTAATTCATATTTCCTAAGGGGACTAAGCTCACTCTTCAACTCCTAAAAGTAGATGCAGTAGTGGTTTCTGGAATAAAGACAAAACTGAACTGTCACTTGGCCTTAAGAGGTGGTTCTTTGCAACATGGAGATGTTGGGAAGTGCTGGCAGCCACCTCCAGAGCCTGGATTAGAGAGATGCTGTGCTGGCTGCTGCCATCACAACCTTTTCAGGCCAAACACCTGAAAATCAATTTATTTTTCTTTCCATACTCCCCAGCCCAGATTCTTGGTTTCATTTTCATCGATTTATTTTGTTTATTTAAGACAGAGGTGGTGTCTGGGTGAGGATTTGGTTTGAGGTCTCTGGGCAGATTTCTGTGGTAAATAGGTGTGTGCAGCTGCACTGGTATTGACCTCTTTCAGTTCAATAAAAAAAAAAAAAGAAAAGAGAGTTTGGCTTCTCTGTGTATTATGTAGAAAAGCTGCATGGTTTGAAGTGGATGGACACAATTTAGCCTGCTGGTGTTGCAGGAAGAAGGTCCTTCCTCTCTAGAGGGAAGCAAATATTTCTCAATGATCAGGGTCCAGCTGGCCTTGCAAATTGGGATTTTTGGGGCTGCAGAGAGGCAGCTCCATCCTTGCAGAACTGGAGGAGCTTGGAGCAGTCTTGCATAACTTGAACTTTTGCATCATCAGGTGGCTCTCCAGGAGAAGGTCCCACCTCACGGATGTTCTGTGGGCTGGGAGGTGCTTTTCTAGCCCACAGTGACTAAACTGCAGCTATTTTGCTCCTGGCAATGATAATAATAGCACAGGGTAGGGGAAGGGGGCAGGGTACTTGTGGATTTGTGTTCCACAGCCCAGGAAACACACTTGAATGTGCCAAGGAAACTTCTTGAATCCTGGCTGTGCTGCCCAGTGCCACGGGCCAGTTTGAGCAGATGGGGCTGGACTTGCGTGTGAGCTCCGTGGATGTCAGAAAGGTGCTCCAGGCTGGAAACATCCTCCTTAATGCCAGTGCTAACCCTCAGCCATGTGTGCTTTAAGGCTCTATGACCTCAGAGGTTTTGTTTTTATAAGTAACAACCAGTAGCCTAAATGCAGGCTTCTGATGAGTGTGCCTGCACATAATAACATTTGGAACTGGCTCCAATTTTACAGTTGTGTGTTAACATGTGGATCCTCGTATCAATTCTACAGCTGGAGTAAATTTTAAGTTTTATTGGAACAAATTTTAAGTTTCTGAGAGAAAGGAGTAAGATATCCTTCACCTTGCTGCTCTTAAGTAGTTGGACCATTAAACCACTGTTCCATGGTAGATAAATTTGGATAGTAAGCTCCACAAAAAGTGGCATAAGCTAGAGAAAAATGACAGAATTGAATGCCAAAGGATTTGTAAAGCTGTGGAATCAAAGGCAAATATGGAGTTGCAAAGATAGTAACTGGAAAAAATTCTTGTACTGCTGATTGCTGTTGACATTTATGACCTTTTTTTCTGTTTTGGGGTGTAAGAGGAGGATAATCTGGAGGATCAAGATACCTTGCTGCTGGCACCAGCTAGCCTTTTATTTTGGATAATACTGCCAAATTTTATGAAAGGTGATCAAATGCCCTGTCATTTTTTTCTCAGCTTTATGTTGGTCATAAGAATTCTTTCTTTAAGTGATCTACTCAGTATCTGAGGGTGGCTGCAGGGTAAACTTGGAGATGCAAAGCAAGGAAATATGTTTAATGCAAAGTATTGCTTGTAAGTAGTTGAGCTTCAAATAACATTAATTTCGTAGTTGTGATCTATTGCCCATTTAGTTTGGGTGGGGACTTAAAACTTTTCTTGGATTTGCTCGCTGCTCTTGTGACTTTTAAACTATTTTTATAGCCCCTCCATGGGAGTATAACAAGGGAAATGCTGGGTTCAATTGGCTCTTGCTGTTTGAGGATTTCAGCTCCTCTGTGTGCTACACACAATGCTTGTTCCCTCAAGGAAAATGTGTTACAGTGTGCCTCTCAGTAGGCTGTGGGCATCTGAGCATGGTTTCAAGTGCAGTATCTCTTTCAAAACCAAACTTCAACAAATTCACAGTAAAAACTGACAGCTGTTGTTCTCTGGTTACTTCAGATGGGTTTTTTTACAATTTTGTAGTAATTTAAAGAAACGTTTGCTCTGGGGTATTATGAGCCACTGGAGGATTGGCTTCAAATCTAGTCCTTTTTAATGTAAATTTTTTGAAGTCTGGCCAAAGTAAGGTGCATTTTGTAAGGAATGTGGAGGCATTGCAGGTAGTAGCTGTAGTTGTGGCACTCTTCCCAGATGAACCTCTTGCTTCTTTTGGTGCAACCTGGGGTTTGTGTCAGCCTTGTATTGGATTTTGTAATTCTGTCATCTCCTTCCCCCTGCAGGACTTGTGGAAGAGGAAACATAAAGATCTCCAAATGAATAACCGAAAGGAAGATATGGAAATTGCTTCCCACTACCGTCACCTGCTGCGGGAGCTGAACGAGCAGAGGCAGCACGGGATCCTCTGCGACGTCTGCATCATCGTGGAGGGCAAGATCTTCAAAGCTCACAAAAACGTCCTCCTGGGGAGCAGCCGCTACTTCAAAACCCTCTACTGCCAGGTGCAGAAAACCTCTGACCAGGCCACAGTCACCCACCTGGACATCGTCACCGCCCAGGGCTTTAAGGCAATCATTGACTTCATGTATTCCGCACACCTGGCGCTGACCAGCAGGAACGTCATCGAGGTGATGTCGGCTGCCAGCTACCTGCAGATGACAGACATCGTGCAGGCCTGTCACAACTTCATCAAAGCAGCTCTGGACATAAGCATCAAGTCTGATGCCTCGGAGGACCTTGTTGATTATGAGCTGGGAGCCCCTTCCAGCAGCAGCACGGACGCTCTGATCTCGGCGGTGGTGGCTGGCAGGAGTATATCCCCCTGGCTGGCTCGGAGAACGAGCCCAGCAAACTCCTCTGGGGACTCAGCCATTGCCAGCTGCCACGAGGGAGGGAGTAGTTATGGGAAAGAGGATCAAGAACCAAAACCAGACAGCCACGAAGACATTTCGTCCCAGTCTCTCTGGGCTAGTGACATGGGCTATGGGTCTTTGCGTATCAAAGAGGAGCAGGTGTCACCGTCCCATTATGGAGGGGGTGAGCTGCACTCTGCCAAGGATACTGCAATACAGAGTGGGTTCTCAGAGCAAGGAGTGGGGGATGGCTGGCAGCCCACAGGCCGCAGGAAGAACAGGAAAAACAAAGAAACTGTGAGACATATTACACAGCAAGTGGAGGATGACAGCAGGGCAAATTCTCCTGTGCTGCCGCTTTTACCTGCCTCAGGATGGCCGTACAGCAGTCGAGACCCAAGTAAGTCATTCTTCAGTTTTTGGGGATGAAACTGAAAGCATTGACTTAATTAGATCTGTTTATGGGATGATCTTATCAGCCTCTGAAACAGGAGCTTGCCAGAAATACAAAAATGTAGAAACTTGTGTTGCCAGCAATTCAGAAGCACCAAGCACTGTGTGGTTCAGTGAGGAGCCCGAATGGAGGCTGGTTCTCATATAAAAATGATGGTTTTGTTTTGGTTTTGAACCCCAAAACCACCACTCTAGTTGTTGGGATTAATGAGAGGAAAGGTTAAAATAATTTATTTTAGTAGGTGTGGACATTGATGTCAAGGTTGAAGAATTTTCCTTTCACTGTATATTGATGATGTAATTACACCACACACGCAGGTGTAATTTAGTCTTACTGATAGCATCTTCAGAATTTCCTGATATTCAGGTGTCACTTTCTCTTCGGTAAGAAAACCACCATAGCTTTTTGCTGGTAATGGCAGGATAAGTGTTTAGTAACTCTCAAGAACAACATGTTTTTCTGAGGCACCACTATGGCTTCAAGTGTATTTTGATGTGTGGCTTCTTGTGGTCTGAGACAAGTGGCTGCGTTTTAAGTGTGTAGCCAGTGAGAAAACTGTTTTCTTGACTTCCTTTGAATCTTCAGTAATTATTTTTTTGTCTCAAGATAACTGTCCCATTTGATTCATTAACCAGTGGCAATAAATAGATTCAGGAATGCTTCTGGACTAGGAGTTTGGTGGTTTTTTCTAAGGACTTATGAGAGTGTATTAGTAAACTCTCTCAAGCTGACTTCAAGAACTTAGTCTGTGCTGTGAGTTAGCCTGTGTTTCATTGCATACCAGAATCCAAGTCAGCCAGGAGAAGGGTGTGTGAGATTATAGACTTTTATGTTGCCAAATTTGGATAAAAAAAAACAATACAAAGAGTACTGAAAGTCGTTAAAGTCTTTATGGGCTGAAGAAGGAGGTTGAAGTTGCTCACCTACTGGAGTTTAAATGTGGTTTTCATTGAGCAGTAACTCTCCAAATGTCTTGAGATTTATTATGTTTTATGGTTATCTGCTGCAGCAGGATAATTGCATATAATTATTCTAATTAGCTGATGATAAAATCTAAACAACGTCAGTTAGAAGAAAAATGCGAGATAATTTAAGGCAACAGTGATTTATGAAGAATTTCAATTTTTGCAATGCGTGTATTTTATCCTTGTTTTGAGTGAAGACTCAGCATGGATTACCTGGTCTCTGTTCTCGTGCAACTTTTTCATTTTCCATGGCATCCCATAAAAACAGCTCAATCACTTGTGCTGGCTGAGGGATGTGGGTTTGGAGGCACCTGGAGTGAACCAGACATGTTGGAGTGGTTGCAGAAACAGAGCTGCAGCTCTGATCCTCTTGGAAACCTGGGTGTAGACTGAGTGTTTTTATGGAAAATAGTGCACAACAGAAGACACTGTATTACTGGAAGCTGAATGAAACTTAGATTATTTAATTCATAATTGTTAGAGAATTAAATTGCAGTGGCTGTTCACAGATGAGAGGAAGATGGCTCGGGGGCTTGACTCAGTGCAGTGCTGAGACAGCACTGTCAGCAGACACAACAAATTATTTGTTCCAAATCTTGCCTTAAATGCAGTTTCCAATAAAGGAGGTGGTTTCATTGGTGGGAAAAGGGCAACTGGATGGTGGTGGTTGGTGGAGGAGTATCAATATTCCAATAGTGCTGGTAAAAGAAAAGGAAAAAATGAATGGCAAGACTTGTTGCTGTCCAAAATGAGCAGGTTTTGGGGCTGCCTGTGCTGGCAGTGGCAGCTGGCAGAGAGCAGTGTGTCCATGAGGAACAGGAAGGGGGTGTGGGGACTGAGCTGCTCCTGGGCTCCCCATATTGGCCATCTGGAGAGGTGAATGCAGGTGAAATTCTCCTTTCTGCCCTGCTGGACAGGGAGGTTCCTCTGCATTGTGGGGCCCGAAATTGTGGAATGAGTACATGTGAGCTTAGCAGCAGGGATGGTCTCTGCAAGCTCTGCCTGTGTTGTAGGTCATGTTGTGGTGTCTTTGGGGATTTTTTTCAGTATGATTTCAAAGAATTTGAGATCCATGCATGTTCAGTTTTGGTTAACCTTGGACATCTTGTCCACAGGCAGCCTCTCGTGTGGTAAACCTGTGGTTTGGGGGAAATCAAACGGGCACTCAGGGGAGGCTGCTGCTCTTTCACTGTGAAGTAAAAGCAATCCTGCTACCCCAAAAATATCCCTGTCTGTGGCCCTGCAAGCAGCAGGGTCTTCTGGTATTTCCCATATCCAACAAATAGGAGATTTTTTTCCTGAAAACTTCATATCCTAAGCTACAGGGTAGTGCTTAGGCTGGATTTTGGTACTCCAGGTTCCTCCCTCTCCTGTTAGAATTAATCAGTGCTGTAGGGGTGTTGCATACTTGACTCCTAAGTATGAAGAATAATTGATTTTCTTGTGTGCAAATGGGTAATGACACAGTGCAGACACTTGTAACAAGTATTTGGGTTGTGTTTAAATTTCAGCTTGAAGTTGTCTTTGATTTAGTCATGTCAGGTTTCATTTTTTAAAACAGACTTCATAGTTTAGGGCTCTCTTTTACCTCATTTGTTTAGAAGTGTCCCTATCAGCAATGTACAAAGCTAAGATGGAAAGCTGCTCACTCACTGAGGAAATGGGTGTTGAATGTTCTTTCAGAAGTAACTGAGAGGAAAGAAAGTTACCTAGAACTAACTCTCTGTTCTTCAAGGCTCGTTCACTTTTCTGATCCTATCAGTTATTTTAAGATGCTGCTTACTAAGGCTGAAAGCTCTTGCTGGGTTCACTGGGGTGGTTTACAAATACCTCTCTGCTGCTGGGCTAACACAGACATTGCATTCTGGAAATGGAAAAGCTTCTTCAAAGCTCAGTCTTCCTCCTGAAATTGTGTAAGGTACTCTTTTGGTCTTGGTTGCAAACAGCACTGCATTTCAGCAGCGTTTTGGAAGGGGACTCTTGCAAGTAACCATTGCATCACCCTTTACATTCAGTGATTATTTGGGGCAGGATTTTGACAATGAAAAATACGCTTCCTACTCCTCTATTATATTTAGGATTATTTAATTCCTGTTACATTACAAAGAAGCACATTGCTGTCACTGAAACTTTGCTTTTGAAACAACTCAGCTCATTCACACTCAGCAATGATGCTGCTTTCAGTGGGAAAAACATTCTTATCAGTACAGGCTGGTGTATTAAAGTGTCCCAAATATTTAAGTAGACTGTTTAAATACAAATCAATGACATCTCAAAAAAAGACATAGATTTTATTTAAGTGGAAAGGGTAAGAAAATTCTTTATGAATCCGTTGATTTCCCATATGCTGGTGGGGTGCTGTGGAGAGTTTTGCAATCTGACAACATTGGAGATTAAAATAAAAAGGAGTGTCTGAGGTAATCATACTGATGGTAATCTAACATAATGGAAATAGCAAGAGATTGTTAATGTCTGCCATGCAGATTGTCTTTTTCATCCAAGAAAGAATGATCAAATAGGATTTGCAGAAGAAAGTAAATGGAAAACTGAGGTGCTGGACTGGGACTGTGATTCAGCTCTCAGTTTCTCAGGGTGGTGTCAGTCAAGCACAAAGCTTGATGAGCACCATCTTTTCATGCTAGTCTCTATTTATTAATTTGGACTGTCTGTTTAGCATCAAACACATTACATTTTGTCTTTCTCATCCTGTTTGGGTTGTTCAGGATGTCAGTCTGTCATTCCTTGTAGGAAACATTCATATATATGTTTTCCTCATCAAGACACATTAACTTGAAGCAGCAGTTCGCCAAAGTAAACTGAAGGATGGGCTTTTATAAATAATAACTTTATTCATAATTGAGCCAAGAAGAATTTCCTCCATGGACTTGCCAAAAGAACAGGTCTGCCTTTTATTTAATCCCTTTTTCTTGAATTTTATAGGTTTTCTAAAGAAGCATGGTTTTTAGTCTTTGCTAGTTTTCATATCAAAGATGCTTATGAAATTCAGAAGTAGTCTTGTGCCTTGAACATCTTTGTCTGCCTTAGTTTCCCATTCCTTTAACCTTGCTGGATAAAAGTTTTTCAGGATTACATGTCCTGAGTGTGTGGACTACAGGATCAGGTGGTGTTTGGAAAAGAGAATGGATATCTTCACTGTTAAGCCAGCAAAGTGTTGCTGGTTTTGCCTCTTCATGTAATGGAAAACTGTCACTTGAAGGGTGTCTTCTGAAGAATTTATTGACGCCTTTATTAATGTGTTAGTTCAAGCATGGTAGTTATGATTCAGGAATTTATTTCCAAGGAAGTACTCCCACACATCTTCTGAGTGTTTGCACCCAAAAGCTGCAAGTGAATTTTTGTGTGCCAATTGACTGTGAAATGAAGCTAATTATTTTAAAAACAGAGCAGCCCTTTCTAAAGGCTCTACAATTTGGGAACTCTTTTATTTCTTTTAATATATGTATTGGAATTGCTGTGTGCTGTTAAGAAGAGCTTCAGGACTCGAGTAAGCCCAGACTCGTGACCTCCATGGGAAGGACAAACAGGACTTTGCTGTATCCTTCTGACTTTGCAGAGCTCACAGTTCCTTTAATGTTTTCCCCATCGAAATCTTTAATTATGCCCAAGTTTCCTCCCTGCTGCTGAGGAGCCGTTGAAGTCACTGGTTTTCCAATGCCACACGTGTGACTCTGCTCCCCAGGAAGCCTGGAGACAGCTGGTGTCATCAACATTCCCCATCCCTTCTTGTGTCTTGGTTTCCAGAGAGCAAATTCTGATTACAGGAGCTGTTGGGGAGCACAGATGCTGAACAGTTGGATCACACAGGGAGCTTACATTGCAAAAGGCTTCAGAGGCAGGCAAGGAAGGACTCCTTCAAGATGAACTCAACCAAGTTTCTGCAGGTGAGGTGTCTGGACTTGAGTACAGGCAGGTGAATGTGTGGATTGCCTTTGTACAGGATGGTTTTATTCTTGAAACAAAGTTGTTTTTTCTCAGCAAGCTACTGAGCTTTTTGTGTCTCTGTCCCTTTGTCAATGCAAATCTTCAGATCGTCCCTTGATTTATATTTTCAAGTCATTATTAAATAATTCCCCTGAAAATTCCCCTGTTCCCGTTGTGGTATTTGGCAAGCATATTGGCCCAACTAGAGGAATCCATATTTTGCAAAATGACAAAAGGGGGAAAAGATGAGTGTGGTGTTGGTACTCTGGATTCAGGTAAAGGTCTTTGCTCTGTTCTACAAAAGTGAATGTATTGAAGGCGGTGCTAAGAGAAGTTCTGGAAGCAGGCAGTGTTGAAATAATCCAGCCAGAAAAGTCACTGGGACAGAAAACAGTCAGTTACTCTTATTTTAAATGGATTTTGCTTTGAAGAGAGGGAGTCTCCAGTACCCCCTGTCATGGCCTGAGTCCTGGTTGCAATGGGAGAACTTCAGGTGTTTTAATGGTTTGCTACAGCCATGACTGAAAACTGAGCTGGATAAAATTTCGGTTGTCAGATGAATGTCTGATGTCCTAAAAATCAACACAGGCTCAAAATTTAATAATTTCCCACTTTTAGTTTGTTTCTTAGACCTATTTTATGCCTAATTTTGGAAAGATCACTTTTTAAGCAGGATAGATGTTTTTGGATTAAAACAGCTTATTGGAAAGGTGTTGGAGTATTTTTGAGGGTAGGTAATAGTAAACTAAAAACTGCCTGCCACTTGGAAAATTAAGTTCATTACTGCATTTTTCCACCTTCTTTTACAGCCATGACGTTGCAGTTATGGTGCAAGGTGTTAAAATCTTTGCTACAGTTGAGGGGGTTTTGCTGGGGAGATGTTTTGATACTCTGCTGAGCAGTGATGCAGCCAGGCAAGGAGGGGTTACAGCTCTGTGCTCTTATGCCACCCCCTGAATTCTTTCTTAGCCCAAAATCGGCTTAGCCTGCATTCCTCGGGCTTAGGAGCTGCCCAGGTTTCTGGACCCTCTCTGGAACTCTTGGTGTGCCTGAAGCTGTGTGGAGGTGGCTGAGAGTTGCTCAAAATGTAAAACCAAAGGGAAAAAAAAAAAAAAAAAACAACCCTGAGCACCACTGATCTGTGTCCACATTGAGAATTTTGCAGAGGGTGCTCAGTGAATAATTCAGGTTATCTCTATCACCACGGCTTCAGGCTAATGGAGTTATTAGAATAAAATCTTTGCTGGAGTAACTTTGGAGTTTCTTTTATTGAAGGGTTAGGTCAGGTTATTTTCAAGTTTGGAAACTAAAATCATTGCTTTAAACCCAGACACACTTACTCCCTGGCTACACCCTGGCTTTAAAATGGTTCCACCCTAAACCAGCTTTAGCTCAATGCTCAGTGTCTGTTTCCTTTCCCCACCCTGCATTCCATTTTCCCCAGGCTCCCAAGCCCTCCTCCTCCTCTTCCTCCTCCCCGAGGTAGCAGTTCTGATTCTGTTAATCTGCTTTAACTCCAAAGATCAGAGGCATTTTCCCTCTCTCAAGTGCCTTTCTCACTATTTTATTTGTTCCTCGTGCTCTTCCTTAAGGAGATCTCAGCTTTTCAAAAACTTTTTACCCCTTTTTTGTTCCTTACTTTGAAATTACGAGTGAGAAATCAATAAGCTTTTAGCATTTTAACATAAATTCTATTCCTACTTTGCAATCAGCCCTGTTCAAGCCTTTAATTTCCTTATTTGCAGTACTGCTTTTGCATTAAAATGTAGTAGGAATTTATTCTTAAGATGAAATGCCTGGGAATCAAACCCAAGCTTTTCTCTACTGGCCTCTGATTAATTTTTTATACTCTTTTTTTTTTTCAAGGCACTTGTTTCAAAAGGTAAATATTTGTTCTGAGGATTTTCAGAGTTTATAACTCAGCATTCTGTCATATCACGAGTGCTAATATTCATATTTAATGTGGTACTTGAATGTTTTATTTCTGTCCCTTCATGTTTGTGTCTTCCTCTGTCCTGAGGAGCAGCAGGGAATAGTGTTACTCCTTTCATTGCCTGAATTAAGAGACTTAGAAAAAGAGGTTAAGCTTGCAGTACTGTTAAAGTGATAGTCTCAAATTACTCTACAATTCTCTGCATATTTTGGAGAAATGAGTGGCTTAAGGTATTTCTGCCCTTCCCAGTCATTCCTGCTTCTGGAAGGATACTGTGTTATCCCTCTTTAGAAT